AGTAGTAGTAGTCGTAGTAGTGGTAGTAGTGGTGGTAGTAGTAGTAGTAGTAGTGGTAGTAGTGGTAGTAGTAGTATAATACGGTGGCGGTCACAGCATCTACAGCTGAAAGGGTTTATAGGGAATATGTGTTCACTACAATATCAGGTCGAGGCTCCAGCGTCTGGGGGAAGGCAGGTGACTGGGCTTTCATATGGGATTTCGGTGCATTGTGGGAACTTCGAGGCTGTGGGTTCGCCAGCGATCGAAATAGTGGCAACGGGAATCGTGAGTTCATAAACACGCACTCATCAAATTATGATCTGGTCACCATCGTAAACAGACTGACATCAAGTAATGATAACGGAACACATGGCTGATGGTAAAGAGCCGTAGGCTTTTCCGCGCCACGCACTCATGTATCATTTTGGCAGGTTCGGGGCGGCTTTGGGTTCAAAGTTGCACAAAATAGCAGTCAGCGAGTATGAGTAGCACGGGTAAGCGGCAAACGGTAGTCGTCATAGCCTGAAACAACGAGAGAACATGTAAACCGAGGAAGACAAGAGGCCTCCAGAAATGAGGTCTCAACGAAGATCGAGGAGCGCAGCTTTCGCAGGAGATCGTCGGTATGACGTGGCCCCACCGTCCTGGGTGACTAAAGCTCGAAACCAGAACGACTGGGAAACTGTTAAGCTCAAAGCCTAAAGTGGCTAGGCAGTAGCCAACCGGCATCCTTGAATACTTCGTCGTTCTTCCGCACGAAGAGCAAACACGTGGGGCATGTTTGATACGAACAATGTGCCCTGAACTCACGATGAAGGCTAGACAAGCATAAGCAGCATAGTGTTGGAGCTCGACACTTTATCAATGACCTAACCCTGACTCCTCATATTTTGTGAACACCAACTCACTTTAGTCCAGGGGCAACGCTCCGTCCACCCCAGGCAAGGCCAACCAAAGCCACCAGTATGCCATGCATACAAGCCATGAGCTCGCCATTCTGCGTCAGAGGTTGTAGAGAACGAACTCAGAGGGGTGCCCGGGGCGATCTGCCGAGCTTCCGAAACATGTTTACATACGGAGTGTTCGCTGACCATCTCAGCTTGTGGTGGGCAAAGCTGGGTACCTTGACTACTCACAGCCTCATGGGCATGCAAAAAGCACACCAATCCGGGCAGCAGTGAAACTGAGGTCCGCTTCCACGCCTGACACGATTCTCACGGCCGAAATGGCTGCGGTGTTCGTGTTCGACTCGAGTGCGAGTCGTTTCGGAGTTGCGCGTCACACATACCTGCTCTTATGTATATACACATATATGTATATGTGTGTGTATGTATAAAACACGTACCTGCTCTTGTGGGTGTATATGTATGTGTATGTATGTGTGTATATATATATATATATGTATGTATATACAGTTATATATGTGTGTGTGTATGCATATAACTGTATATATATATATATATATACATGTATGTATATGCATATACACACATACACATACATATATATATATATACATATATATATGCATATATATATATATATATGTCTGTATACATTGAAATTGTTGATACACACATACATACATACATACATACATACATACATACAGACAGACAGACAGACAGACAGACAGACAGACAGACAGACAAACAGACAACATGTGCGCATATTAATATGTGCACCGATGCACATGAGAAACATAGACATAGAAGAAAGTTGCTAGAGTGAGACAGAGAAAGAGATAGAGCGAGATAAAAGCAATAGTTAAAGACAGAAAGAGAAAGAGAGAGAGAGAGAGAGAGCGAGAGCGAGAGCGAGAGCGAGAGCGAGAGAGCTAGAGCAAGATACAAATGATAGTGAAAGAGAGTGAGAGAGAGAGAGAGAGTGTGTGTTAGAGAGAGGGAGTGAGAGAACGCAATAGAGCGAGACAAAGAGAGGGAGAGAGCGGGAGAGATAGGCAGTGCGAGACCCAGAAGGAGAGCCAGAGTGAGAGTGCTACAATTACTAACATGACCCTTTCGAGTACCCACACCCTTACTCATGATATGTACAAAACTACGAAGACTACTGCTATTGCTGATGCGCGGTAGAGTTGCTGCTAGTACCAGTAAGGATTTATTGCTACTGCTACTGTTATTGTGACTGTTACTGTTACTGCTACTGCAACTGTTACTGGCACTACTACTGCTACCACGACGGCGACGACGAGGACGATGCCGGCGGCGACGACGACGAACGACAACTACCACAAAGTACCACTAACTACTACGACTACGACTACGACTACGACTACGCCTACTTCTACTACTACTGCTGCTACTACTACTACTACTACTACTACTAGGACTGCTACTACTACTTCTACTTCTACTACTACTACTACTACTACTACTACTACTACTACTACTGCCTGCTACTGCTACTGCTACTGCTACTGCTACTGCTACTGCTACTGCTACTGCTACTGCTACTTCTACTGCTACTGCTACTTCTACTGCTACTGCTACT